AAAATCTTTAAAATATAGATCATCTAATATGCTCACTTTCAAAGATTTTTGAAATCCCTACATTTTTAAAAAAAGAAAAATATTTTAAAGATTTACCTCTATTTTCACTTCTTCACCCCTTTGCCCCACATAATCTGTTTTTATTACATACTTACTAATAAATACGTTTTTTTTTGTATATGCGAAACGACACAATTGCTCTAACCCATATCAGCCCTCGCCGTATCACACTCCAAAACCCGTATCAGCCCCTGCCGTATCACACCCCAAAACCAGTATCAGCCGGCAAAAACCATATCACACCCTCTTTGGGAAAAAAAACGTTTTTCAATATTTCAAAAATAAATCATAATATTTGACATGGTTAAATATTGTCATACCAGCGTTCATTCCTAGAAATTAATTATTGGCTGTTACGAATCTGCTTCAGGAAAGATTATAAAAGCCCTTATTAAATTAAAGGGGCATCACGGTGAAGTAACTTTATTTTTTGTCTTTTATTCAAACACTACATAAACATATCAAGTGAGACTCCTTATGGAAAATAACGATCGGATTTGGCTGAAATAGATTCATAAAAATGATTAAATCTAAGAAAATCATCGGTATTTCTACCTGTCTGACCAACGTTTTGTTCAGGGATTTCCCTCTACTAGCGCATGCGCATAGCACACCCTTTCTTTGTAAACAAAAGGACTGGCCGTGTGAAGTAAGCGAAAGAAAAATGTTGTACCGTGTCAGCTACGAAACGAAAAGTTGCCAAATGGTCAAAAGATAGCGCAAGGAGTACGTTACGGAATCATTATTGCAGGTGGGCAGTATTAAAAGAAGAAAATAATTGCCGTAGCAGTTAGTACGTTGCATGTATTCTTCCGGATAGCCGGTTAAGCTGAAATGGAATCGACAGAAATGCTAGCGCTGTTTATATTATGAATAAATATCTAAAACTATTAAGCTCGCTAGTATCTTTGTCTTAGTTTGAACACAGATGAACTTAGTTTAATATGTTAAAGGGCATGTATTGGAGAGAGTTTACTTTGTGTTTCTATAATTATACAGTGGTTTATGCAAAAGGAAGGGATAAGTGACTGGTTAGTTTGATTTTGCCATGAAGCCCTCCAAGGGATAACTGTTGTGATGGCACACGGCGTATTTTCTGGGTCACCGAGATACGTGTTATCTAAGTCCGTGGATTTACATAATTTATGATATTACCGGGTTCAATAAAATGGTATGATTTAATTATATTGCTGAATAAAACGATTGCTTTTGTTTTTACATGCAAGATTTAAATTAGTACTAATATGAATACCCGGCCTCCTCTGCCCCGGCAATATGTAAAAAAATTAGAAAGGTTTGTCCCTTAGTGTAGGGAAGGTGTTTAGCCCCACACATCTGTACCGGCCACATTCCGGTACTAAATTCAATATATATTTAAATGTATCTACTTTATGTTTATGCCTATTATCATTGTTGACATTTAATTGTAAATGTATGACGGGAGAAGGCTGTGAAAAATTGTAAAAACTTGTGCCCCGTCCCTTGTTTAATTTTATTGGCAACACATTTATGTTTTAAGCTAAATAAATTTAAATTCTGAACATTAGCAAGTGTGCAATTAACTTCTTATGATGAATAAGTTTGAATACGGACTTAGAAATCATATAACTTGGTTTCATAGTGCGGTAAGAACTTGCAGTTGCCTGACGGACCCTCTCCGGGGGCCCCTTTGGAAACCGTTTCATCTCGCTCGCACCACTTGTGTTTACTGCCTAGTCAGGTGACGTTTTCGGCGCTATTTTTAGCAGGGCTTTCCCGAACAATTCAAGTGGTCAAACTGGACATTTGGAACGGACCATGAATATGGGGATAGCGAGGTAACATAAGTGGAAGGGCATACAATACATACATTCATTAAAAAAAAAAACGCCTTTTCACGTGATGTCCCTTTAACCGATACAATGTTTGTAACAAATTTGTTTCCAGTAAATAATTTTGAATATGTCTGAAAAGGAAGGGTTAAACATCGTGATGTTGTTGTCCAGAGTGATCCCTGAAGTAGTTTAATTATATAACCAAGTGTTGTAATGCATGTCACTTGTTGCAGGAATATAAAAGGGACAATTTAATGGAGCAAGATTTCTTCAAGTGTAAATGACTAAATATTTTCTTGTTTTTTTTAATTGATGATGAAACATTCCTTAGTGGTACAGCTATAATCTTTAGATATATATACATATTAGTGTTAGCTATAAGTGAACTTTTAACTAAGCATACGCAAACATTGTTTTGTTTTTGTAAACAAAAAATATTTCCATATATGTGCCTAGAACCACAGGGGCTTGTATAGACTTATATGATAAAATTAGCTAGACATGTATTTCTACCTAATTTTGTCATATAAGTCTAAACAAGTCCCTGTGCTAGAACTAAGTTAAATTCACTCTATTCACCAACTTCTTTGGCATTTATTCTGTCTGAATCAATAACATCTTCCAAACAAAATCTCAATTATTGTTACAAATTAATAATTTATCGATGCTTTAACCTACCGATATCATAAATTGTGTTCCAATTCTCCCCACAGTACGTATACGGTATACCCTCTTATGTGCATATCTAGAACCTTAAATCCAACTGTCAACAAAAAACTCTCATTAGGCCTGTTTAAGGACCGAGTAGCGTTATATATTATAATTCTTGCTTGCTATGTATTGCATACATTTTAAGTGGCAAGAGGTGGAGAAGCCAAGGTGTTGCGTGTGTAATAAACTCCCTGTGTCGTTGCATTGGTACAGATCGATGACTACATGGTATTAACATTGCTTGAAATAGCGTCTGCTCGGTATACGGTTAAAACGGCCGCACCGCAGTAACGGCCCTAGTAAAAACGGCCCTAGTTAAAACGGCCACACTTTATATATAGTATAGTATATACTGTATAGTACTGCAAGTACTACAAGTGCGTAATACAGGTACATAACTTGATATTATGTTAATAAAGTTACATGCACTTTCAAGAAATAAAGATATGTACATGTACAGATAAATACATTAAAATTGTGTTTGTGTTTTCATTGATAGTTGAAATTTGCTTCAGTGTTTAATTCAATTTAATTTAATTATTTAAAGAAAAGAACTAATTGAAAAACTTATTGAATAGCATTTGAAAAAAATAGTTACAATATTAACTAATAATAATTTAGATATGGGAGGAGGGTCTTTGTTGTTAAAACAACAATTAATGGGATTGGTCAGAGGGTGTAATAAATTGGACGAATGTATAGCAAAATCTTCACATATCATTTGAATTTGAATAAGACTTTCAACCATGAGACCAGCATTGACGAACTGTTTAGAGTGCGACAGTGTTATTCGACCTGCACAGCATGCACTGCAGTGCGATTGCTGTAGTAGATGGCAGCATAGAACGTGTGGTACCGGTAAGTGATATGAAATATATATAAATGCCAATCACAGAAATACCCAATTGATACATAACCGTGCATAGTAAGATAGGATGATTTTATATAAAAGATAAGAAGACATAATCTTACTGTTGTATAATTGTTGTGGTTTAATTTAGTAATTGTCAAATTAATCATTACTTATAATTGTCTATTTATTGAAATATACATCAATGTTCATATATATATACGTCCCGTTATAATTGTCTATTTATTGAAACATACATCAATGTTCATATATATATACGTCCCGTTATAATTGTCTATTTATTGAAATATACATCAATGTTCATATACATATACGTCCCGTTATAATTGTCTATTTATTGAAATATACATTTTAAAAATTACATCTTATAATTATTATGGTCATACATATATTCGTCCCGTTATAATTGTCTATTTATTGAAATATACATTTTATGTTCATATAGCATGTTTTAAACATTATATAGGCATATCACTGGCGATGTATCGGGACGTATATATATATGAACATTGATGTATATTTCAATAAATAAACAATTATAACGTACAGGTATCTGCTCCATTTAGACTTTCGGAACACATTGTTCCGAGTGGATCGGTGTAATGCGGAAATAAGACCCCTTTACTATGTCTCGGGTCGAATTGATTCGCTTGCTATTTAATTTTCAAAGACTGAAATCGAATAAATGCGTCATTTAGTCATTCCGTCCAAACTTATGTCAAATGTGGAATAATTGACCCTCTGGATCCGCCACTATGTACCTAATGTTTTATACATACATGTACCGAATGCACAATTTAGAACCGTCGGCACTTTCCGTAAACAAGATCTTTTCTTTAATAATTATGGGCTTTGACAAATGTTGATTCGCAACGAAAAGAGCTATACACGTATTCAAGTTTTACCTGAATCAGGTGTCTATTTGTTGCATCGCGTGTGGTACGAGTTTATTGTCAAATATATTTAATAGTTGGTTGATAAATATAAGTTGAAATAACTTGGTTCGAATAATTGTTGTGAAATAAATAAAATTCATAATGGTAGAGTTGGCAGTAACAAATATTTAGGTAAGCCTATTTACGTGTAAATTGCGAATCAGGGAATACATTACAAATTTAAATTCAAACATTTGTATTGTAAATCATGTATACTGGATGTTTTTATCATTCCCTATCTCATGATGTGGCATTGCTTCCTAAAAATTTGATTGAAATCTGTCCAATGGTAAAAAAGAACGGACAACCGACGACGTCAGGAAACGAATTGTTCTATCTCACTTTAACCCACGGGGTTTGTTTGTTATATATACTGATGTAAATTACATTCAGATGGCATGTAGTATGACGTACTAGTTGCACGGTGTAGTAGATATAATTGAAACGGATTTTCAAGACTGTTATTTACACGAAAGTCCTCACAATATGTGTTAAAATGATGCCTTATGAAATTTTGTAAGAAATATGATGCACACCTGGAAATAAACCACCACTCGGGTAAAATGGCCTTTAACAATGTTATGTACAAAAAGAATGTTTTATACATACCAAATGCTTAGTCAGAAAATCCTGAATCCCATTCAGTCATAGCTCTCTAGTGTCTTTATACACAGGTAGCTATAGTCCACACGGTGACGTCATACACAGGTTCCCTACAGTCAGAACTCCCTAATGTCTTTATACACGGGTACCTATAGTCCACACGGTGACGTCATAAACAGGTTCCCTACAGCCAGAACTCCCTAATGTCTTTATACACGGGTAGCTATAGTCCACACGGTGACGTCATAAACAGGTTCCCTACAGTCAGAACTCCCTAATGTCTTTATACACGGGTAGCTATAGTCCACACGGTGACGTCATAAACAGGTTCCCTACAGTCAGAACTCCCTAATGTCTTTATACACGGGTAGCTATAGTCCACACGGTGACGTCATAAACAGGTTCCCTACAGTCAGAACTCCCTAATGTCTTTATACACGGGTAGCTATAGTCCACACGGTGACGTCATAAACAGGTTCCCTACAGTCAGAACTCCCTAATGTCTTTATACACGGGTAGCTATAGTCCACACGGTGACGTCATAAACAGGTTCCCTACAGTCAGAACTCCCTAATGTCTTTATACACGGGTAGCTATAGTCCACACGGTGACGTCATAAACAGGTTCCCTACAGTCAGAACTCCCTAATGTCTTTATACACGGGTAGCTATAGTCCACACGGTGACGTCATAAACAGGTTCCCTACAGTCAGAACTCCCTAATGTCTTTATACACGGGTAGCTATAGTCCACACGGTGACGTCATAAACAGGTTCCCTACAGTCAGAGCACTCTAGGCTAATGTCTTCGTACAGAGGGAGTCGGGGGATTATATAGTGTCAACACTGTCTCTATGGTGATATAACGGGAATTCCAGTGACGTTAGTGATTAAAACAACCAATACTGATTCCTTAATCATTCACGTGATATATAGGGTGATTTTTGTTTTGAAATCCGGTTTTGGAATAGATTCTATAGCCTTTTCAATCGTGACGACTCGACAAACTCTAACAATAGCGAAATTTCAAGTCGACATTTAAACGGGTGTGTTATTGTGGCTAGTGAGACATAGAATGCATTGCCACTGTCATTAACTGCACACGTACAATAAGGAATGTGCCGCAAAAGGTACGCAATTTAAAGAGAGACAGGTGGGGGGG